GTAATGGGATTTCATGCTCCCCAATCAAGAAATAATTAGACTCGAAAAATTCCTCTGACTGCCAATTTTAACTCGGCCTACGGCCTCATCCAATTTTGGAAGTCCACGGAATTTTTCTTGTCCAATTAAGATGGAGTATACTAATTATTATTATTATTATTGTTATTATCGAGAACAAGTCATTGAATGGAGACTGCAGGGTGTTGTAAATGTGTATAACATTTATGGCTTGTTTCATAGATAAAGAAGGGCAACATGGGCAAGAATGCCAAGAAGAAAGAAAGCAAGAAGAAAAAGGGTAAAATGAAGTCTGAAGATAACAATGACACCAGTGAAGAAGTACAGTATCAATCTGTGACTGAGGATGATGCTGTAGAAACGTCAACCCATCAATTAAGTGTGACAACACAATCCCCAAAAGGCAAGTTTAAAACAAGCAGACAACGAAAAAGAGCTGAGAAGGAGCAACATATGAAAGAGGAGAAATCAAGCGTGGGTAAGAAGAAGACCAAATCACAACCACAGCAAGGCAGCGGAAAGGAGAAAAAGGAACAGACAATAAGCGAAAAGACAACCTCAAACAAACCTGATGAGTCGGCAGGCTGCAGACCTGCTAGCTTTGTCACAGGGTGTTTGGTTCCAGAGAATTCTAACCCTTGTATGTACGATATGTACGATCTTCGTCCTTCGTATTTTCAAGCCAAAGATCAAAAAGAGCCTCTAGATCAGGATCGATACGTTGCCAGACAACCACGAAATAGCAGTATACCGAACCCTCAGGGTATTGAAGATCTACGACCACCATTTGACCCATGGGGAGATCGTGAAGGTGATTGTATTGATGGGAATCGGAGAAACCCTGAATATCAGTCGCCAAACAATACGAGTCCATCATGGTATTCCAAATCAAAAACGTTTGACGTCACTGCTATTAATAATAATCTGTGGTCACAAGATCAGGATGAAGAGCCTTCTATTGATGGAAATTGGAGAAAGGTTGTCAGAAAGACTAAAAAAGGTACTGTATCAAGCTCCCCTTGTAAGTCAGGACTATCAGCCCTGGGTGCCCTTAACAAACTGTTGCCATCTGAGATCCAGTCAGTCTTAGCAAAAGAGATTCACAAGCAACTAGCGAGCAAAGAAGGGAGTCAGAACGTGTGTGACACCTTTAACCTCCTTAGAGCGCTTGCACAAGCCTGTGAAGCTGGAAAATCAGAGAATTTGAGCAAAATCTTGACAGCGATTCAAGGCTCTGGATTCCTTCGTTATCAATTACCAGCCATGCTTAAAAGGGTGCAACAAGAAGCTGTAGTTCTTATGAAAGAGTCTGACAAAAGACAGATGATTTCTGACATGATAGATGTTTATCAAACGTACCTGAGGCGTTTACCAAGTGCCTATGCTGATCTTCCGCTGGACGAAGTACAAAGATACTTCAAAAAAATATCAGTGCCAAATAAAGCTGTCTTGGAGCATAAGTTGGAGGCATTGAAGAAAGAACGAGATGAAGTAATCCAGAACAAGAGAAGACGAAATGCGAAGCTCTTCAAAGGCAATGCTCATATAAAACCACCTAACAACTTTAGAGAATTGCAGATATTCCCAACAATTTACGAACTGACTTCGGATGAGACGACCTTTCTTCGTGCAAACGTGAAAAAGGGACGTTATCAAGATACTGAGCACTACCTAGATGTCCAGTTTAGGCTTTACAGAGAAGATTTTATCGCTCCCTTACGAGAAGGAATACAAGAGATCGTGCAGAAAATCCCAAAGAACGAGCGAGGTCAAAACATCAAGACATATGACAGAGTACAGATCCAAGAAAAGAAGTACACTAAGAACGGCATTATCTATACCCTGCACTTTGACGTGTCTAGGTTTAGACGTACTCGCTGGGAAAGTTCAAACAGGCTCGTCTTTGGATCATTCCTTTGCTTATCAAAGGATAACTTTGCAAATACACTGTTCGCGACTGTTGCTAATCGCGACCCTAAAGACCTGGCTAAAGGCCTTCTAGACGTGTGCTTTATCGAAGGCCAAAACGTTTATGGAATAGAGAAAAGACAAATGGATCAGTACGTCATGGCCGAATCCCCTGCATATTTTGAAGCTTACCGCCATGTTTTAACTGCCTTGCAGAGCATGCATGAAGAATGTCTTCCCTTCCAGAAATATCTCGTTGAGTGTAGTAAAGATGTTGATGCGCCTGCGTATTTGAGAGATAAGAAGGAACCAGTTAGGTATGACCTCAGGGAAGCCTTAGAAGTACCCCACGTACAAGAAGCCGCTGATGTTGCTTTGTTACAGCCTGATCAATGGCCCAACGTCAGTCACCTCCCACTGAATGATTCCCAGTACGAGGCTCTAAGAACTGCCTTGACCAAAGAATTCTCTGTAATCCAGGGACCACCTGGGACAGGAAAGACCTACGTGGGACTGAAAATCGCCCGCTGTCTCTTGACCAATAGTCATGCGTGGAATCCAACACAGGACTCACCTATCCTAATGGTGTGTTTCACTAATCACGCCCTGGATCAGTTCCTGGAAGGTATTCTTGATTTCATGCCGAAAGGAATCATCAGAGTTGGTTCACGCTGCAAAAGTGAAAGGCTGGAAAAGTGCAACTTGAAGAATGACGTAAACATACGAAAAGAAGAGCGTTTGGGGACGAAGAAAAGAATCGAGAAACAACTGAGACGAGTTGAGACGAAGAAACTCGCCTTGAAAAGGTACGAAGATGATGATGGTATTAAGAAACTACAAATCCTTGAAAATGCCAACTGCATTTCGCATAACCATTTGGACGGCTTCTACTATTCAAACTTGTATGACAGAGAATGCGAAACACTTCAAGATGTATTTGAAGCATGGATTTGCAACAAAAGCAACAGACGGAGGAAGGCCGTCCTCAAAGAAGTAACCCCCAAATTCAAGGATAACTATAAAGAGCCAAGCCAACAGGAAGCGGAAATGGAAACCACAGAGTACGACGCAACTCCTTACATTTTCCTGGCTGATGAAGACGACTGGGGAGTAGCTGACTCAGACGTAGATATTCCGGGACCCGATAGCTTCATCGATGAAAACTCTGATGAGGACAGCGAAGATACCTGGGAGGATGCAAATTCAGATCTTGAGAGTGAGGAAGAGTATTTTGAATGCAGCGCCGCGGTTAATGGTGATGAAGTTAAAGAGCGAAGAGAAGGGAATAAAAAAGCGGAGGAGGTGTTAGTGATAAGCGAGAAAAATCGTGCTCCAGAGACCATTAACATTGATCGAGAATTTGAAATATCACGGCAGCTTCATGGGGAGGAAGACCTCTTTCAACCGATCTGTGCTTCGCTGGATAGAAGTGATAACGACGTTCTACAAAGTGGAGATGAAACTCCTTGTCAAGATATACGCTACCAAGACATAGATGACTCCTTTGAAAGCTCCATCAAAATGCAAAAAGAAATAGAAATGAATGCAAATCAAGGATGGGAATTGGACACTCAATACGAAGGAACGAAGAAAAAGAAGAAGAAAAAGTCAAAGTCGACCGCAAGCAAGGCCACACCTAGTAACATACGAAGAGCTAAGGCAAAAATGGCACGCTTGAAAACAATGACAGAGGAGGAAATTGCAAAAATGTCAAGCATCTGGGATCTTGGTCATGATGATCGTCTTCGTTTGTACCTGACTTGGGAAGACATGCTGAAAGAGGACTTTAAGCTGAAGATTATCCAAGAAGAACAAGCATACGATGGACTTTGTAGAGAGGTGGAGAGCGTTCGCATTGTAGAGGAGGAGAAGATCTTAAAGAAAGCTAAAGTTATCGGGATGACCACTACTGGTGCAGCTAGATATCACTCAGTGCTTCAGAGAATAAAGCCTCGGATTGTCATCATCGAGGAAGCCGCTGAAGTCTTAGAGGCACATATAATAACGTCATTAGCACGTGACACTGAACAGGTCATTCTGATTGGCGACCACAAGCAGCTCCGACCAAAACCAACTGTGCATGAGCTTGCAATAAAGTACAACTTGGAGATATCTTTGTTTGAACGCATGGTCTTGAACAAGATGGACTGCAAGATGCTGTCGATACAACACAGAATGCGACCAGAGATTGCACAGCTAACAAAGCGAATCTACAAAGACGAGATTTACGATGACGTTTCTGTCACCATGTTTGAAGATGTCCGGGGTATGAAGACTAATTTGTTCTTTCTTGACCACCGTGGAGTAGAATCCTTCCATAATGGTCTCCAAAGCTATGCAAACGACCACGAAGCCAACATGATGGTAGCTATGTGCAAGTATCTCCTTCAACAAGATTACAAGCCCAGTCAGATTACTATTCTCACCTTGTACATTGGACAGCTTCTTACACTGAAAGATAAAATGCCACTTGAAGAATTCAAAGGCGTGAGAGTGACAGTTGTAGATAATTTCCAAGGAGAAGAGAATGACATCATTCTTCTATCCCTTGTGAGAAGCAATACGACTGGAAGCATTGGATTCCTCAAGGAGTCAAATAGAATCTGCGTTGCTTTGTCAAGAGCCCGTAAAGGTTTGTACTGCATCGGCAATTTTGCTCTTCTTTCAAAAGATCGCCTCTGGAAAGAGATATGTGAGGAACTAAAGAGAAAGGATGCGCTCGGTGATAGAATTCAACTGGCCTGTGCAAATCATGGTGAAATCACAGAAGTTAAGAAAGAGGAAGACTTCAAGAAGGTGATATCTGGAGGTTGTGGACGTCCTTGTGATCTGCGCTTAGCTTGTGGTCATCGTTGTCCAGACAGATGCCATGGTAGTGATCCTGAACACAAAGAGTCCAAAAAATGTCGAAAAATCTGTCGAACGCTATGTCCTGAAGAGCTCCATCGGTGCCTGGAAAGATGTCATTACCCAAAAGATTGTGGGCCCTGTCTTGTCCCGTCTACGAAGATTTTCTCTGTCTGTGGTCATAAAGGCAGAACAGCTTGTTGGATAGATCCAAGGACAAAGAACTGCGATTACCTTGACTACAAGCCTCTACCATGTGGACACAAACAAGATATTCCCTGCTTTCTTGATCCATTGCAAAGTTTACAAGAACAGTATGAAGAAGCAATAACGCTGTTAGAAAAGCTGTCCAAGATTTGCCGCAGTCAAAGGACTGTTAAGGAGTACTCTCAGCTCAATGATGAAGACATCATGGAACTAAATGAGTACGTTATAGAGATGGCTTACCTCAAGGACAGAAGTCTGAAAATCCGACAAAACTGGCCAAAATATGAAAGTGCACTACAGTGCAAGGAAAGCTGTACCGCTAAGTGTGAGAAGGGTCTGCATACGTGCACCAGAAAGTGTCACTATGGCGAAGAATGTGGACCTTGTATGGTCAGGATAAAAGTCGAGATCCCCGAATGTGGACATCAAGCACAAATACCATGCTTCAAGGATCCTGATACCATTTATTGCAAGGCAAAATGCCAAAGAATGCTTGCCTGTGGTCATGAATGCCAACAGAAGTGTGGGGATAACTGCTCCTTTTTGGCTTGTGAAATGCCATGTCCGAGACAATGTGAAAACAACCATCCTTGCAAGCAATGCTGCCACTGGGGGAAGCCATGTCCTAGCTGTATAATTCCAACTGAAAAAGCTTTGTCGAATTGTAACCACAAAATTCGCATTGAATGCCATGTGGACATTTCTAATGTCGACTGTTTCCAGCCATGCGAGAGAGAGCGATCATGCGGACACTCATGTGACAAATGGTGCTACGAACCGTGCGATGCTTTTGAATGTAAGGCAAGACGACTGAAGACTCTTCCTTGTGGGCATCAAAAGGTACTACCATGCTACGTAGACCTATCTACGTACACATGCACAAGTCTAGTAACCAAGCCATTGCCGTGCGGCCACGAACTCTTAATGCCCTGTGATTTGGATCCACATAACCACATCTGCATTGAAGAAGTGACAAGGAAGTTGCCGTGTGGGCATGAATCGAAAATGAAATGTCATTCTGATCCATCAAAAAAATGCTGCAAGGAGAGAGTCACAAAGAAATTGTCATGCGGCCACGAATTGGAAATGCTATGCTTTCAAGATCCATCCAAACGCCAGTGTTCAACGCAAGTGATGAAAAAACTGCCATGCGGTCATGAAATTATGATGGACTGCCATTCCGATCCGCTAAAACGCAAGTGTAGAGCACAGGTGACAAGGAAGTTGTCATGCGGACATGAGCTAGAGATGAAATGCCATTCAGACCCATCAAAACAACAGTGCAACAAGCAAGCATTAAAGAAACTAACCTGCGGACATTTAACACAAGTTCCATGCAACATGGACATATCTAAATGCACGTGCAAGACACTGGTACCAAAAGCACTACCTTGCGGTCATGAAATAGAAATTCCTTGTCACGAAGATGTGTCCCAGCATACCTGCAAAAAAGAGGTCAAAAAGAAGATGCAGTGTGGTCATGAAGATCTAATGCCATGTAATGTCGATGCTTCAAATGTTAAATGCACTGCAAAGGTCGACAAACCCTTGCCATGTGGTCATAATATCAAGGTTCCTTGTATTGAGGAAGATCTATCGAAATACAAGTGCACTGAAAAGGTATCAACAAAGCTGAAATGCGGCCATGAAATCCAGACTCCATGCTCCCGAAAAATACCAAAGATTATTTGTAGAGAACCAGTGATGAAGAAGATGCCATGCGGACATGAAAATTCAATGCCATGTAACGCTGATCCATCAACTCGCACTTGTACGATAACAGAAGACATAAATCTGCCATGTGGACATACAGTTTCTAAGCCATGCTACCCTTCAGGAAAAATCCAGCCTACGTCTATTTGCTGTGAAAAGGTGACAAGGGTGTTAGACTGTGGACATGAACATCAGATGCAGTGCCACATAGATCCATCTCAATTCATCTGCACAAAACAAGTAGAAAAACAACTACCGTGTGGGCACAGCCAGTTATTGTCATGCAATATGGATACAACTGGAACTGTTTGTAAGGAAAAAGTCATTAGAAGGTTGGCCTGTGGACACGAGAGCCAGATGTCCTGCAATCTCAGTCCCGATAAATACCAGTGCTTAATACTAGTGAAGAAAGAGCTCAAATGTGGGCACTCCAAAGAGGTGGTTTGCTCTACAAGTATGGATGCTGTGGTATGCAATGAGATTACCGAAAAGAAACTTCCATGCCAACATTCTAGAACGATGCTATGCTTCAAAGACGTCCACAGTGTTTGCTGCGAAGAAATCGTGACAAAAGAGCTTCTTTGTAAGCATCTGAAGGATGTTCCATGCCATAGAAAAATCACTGATATTCAATGCAATGAAGAAATACTGAAGACCTTACCCTGCAAACACGAAAAACATTTGCCATGTTATTTAGACCCAAGAAATGCAAACGTACCATGCGATATTGTGGTGACAAAGATACTATTATGTGGCCATGAGGTTGAAGTGCCCTGCAGTAAAGAAATTACTGCTATCTCCTGCGACAAGCCTACAAAGATAATTCTTTTATGCGGTCATGAGGTTGAAGTACCCTGCAATAAAGACATGAATACAATATCTTGCAACAAGCCTGTGAAGAAGATACTTTCATGTGGCCATGAAATTGAAGTGCCCTGCAGTAAAAACACAAGTACTATCTCTTGCGACAAGCCTACGAAGAAACAACTTCGTTGTGGCCATAAAGTTGAAGCTCGTTGCCATGTTGACGTCAGTACTATCTCTTGTGAAGAGCTGATTAACAAGACGCTACCTTGCCAACATGAGGTTCAGACATCATGCAACAAGGATGTCAACGAAATCCGTTGTGATATACTCACAAGAAAGAGTCTTCCTTGTCGTCATGAAGTTGAAGTGCCTTGCTATGTAGATATCAACACCATCTTTTGTCAAACGTCTTTGAAGAAGCAGCTTCCTTGTGGTCATGAAGCTCAAGTCCCTTGTCAAGCAGACGTTACTACAATAACCTGCAAACAGCCCACAATGAAAACAATGCCTTGCAGCCATGAAGTAATTATACCCTGCAATGTAGATGTCACAGCAATCAATTGTGATAAACAAACGATGAAGACTCTTCCCTGTGGTCATGAAGTTAAAGAACGTTGCAATGTGGACGTAAAAGCAATCTCTTGTGGCGAAATCGTCAAGAAGACGCTCCCTTGCGGCCACATACGGGAAATGTCATGCAGTGAAAATGTCCGTGAGATCTCTTGCACAGAGCCAACAGTGAAGCAACTTCCCTGTGACCATAAGGTTGAAATACCCTGCAATAAAAATATCAGCACAGCTTCTTGTGATGCGTTGACTAAGAAAGAACTTGGGTGTGGCCACAAAGCCGAGATACCCTGCTATAAGGATGTAAGCGAAGTTGCTTGTGAAGAACTCATAAAGAAACAGCTTTCTTGTGGCCACGAGGTCGAGATACCTTGCAACGTGGACACAACTGCGATATCTTGCTATAAGCTGGTGATGAAACAACTTCCCTGTAGCCATGGAGAAGTCAAATTGCCATGTAACTTAGATATCAGCACCATTTCTTGCCGCAAGTCAGTTTTCAAGGAACTTGCATGCGGCCATATGAAAGAGTTACCATGCAGTACAGACATTACTACTGTGTATTGCGATATACCTGTTGTCAAGCAATTGCCTTGTGATCATGAAATTGAGCTGCCCTGCCACAAGACCCAGGAAGAGTATATCTGTCAACGGCCATGTGAGAGACTCCTTCCATGCAATCACCAGTGCAAGCAGAAATGCTCTGAAAAGTGTGACCCAAAGCTATGCACAGAAGCTACAAGCAAGACAGTACCATGTCCAAACAAGCACAAAATAACTATTCCTTGCAACGTTGAAGTTGAAGATACTTATGTTTGCAACGAAGAAGTGACCAAGCAGCTCAGCTGTGGTCACCTTTGGCAGGGAGAATGCAGTAATAGCACTTTGCCATTTGATTGTAAAATTGAAGTCACTCGAACTCTTTCTTGTCCTGGAGAACATCGGCGCGAACTCCCGTGCCACGTTGACGTCAGGAAAATACCATGTGGTCAAAAGTGTTCCAAGATATTGCCTTGCGGTCACCCTTGTAAATTATACTGTGAGGAACCATGTTGCCCAGATAAATGTACAGTACGAGTACTAAAGACGTTTGGATCATGTGGTCACGAAAAATGGCTGGCTTGCGGTATCAGTATGAAAGCCATATGCCTGTACCGTTGTCTTCGACCGCTGAACGGCTGTGGACATCCTTGTCAAGCACCCTGTGGTAAACCATGCAATAAGCCATGCCGTTATAGAGTTCGAAAAACACTGCCCTGTGACCATAAACTGAAACTGAAATGCTGTGATCCAGTACAATATGTAAGATGTCCTTTCCCTTGCACTGCCAAATTACTTTGTGGACACATCTGTACGGGAAAATGTTCAACTTGTCAAGAGAAAGGAGAACACTCACCGTGCCCGTTTCCCTGCGGACGTGCTCTTGTATGTTCTCATCGTTGTCATGAACGCTGCTCAGATCCTTGCCCTCCTTGTTTCCGTGAATGTCGTGGATGGTGCCCACATGGCAAGTGTCAAGGAAACTGTAGCGATGTCTGTAAGCCATGCAACATGCCATGTGCTTATACTTGCATTCACGATAAGTGCAACAACTTGTGCCATGAAATGTGTGACCGTGAACCATGCAACGAGCCTTGTCAAAAAGTACTTGCATGCGGTCATCCTTGCATTGGGTTGTGTGGAGAATCCTGTCCGATCCTGTGCTATGTTTGTACGCCAGCGAAAGTGGCTGCTGTCTCGCCAAATGGGCAAAGAAACAAAGATTTAAGGTGAGAAATTAAATAGAAAGGAATGTGATCCCTCTTGTTGCAGCTGGCTTGCTCCGACAAATTATTCCTCTTGTTGACACTTGTCTTATTAATTTGATTGATCAGATTTATCCAGCTCAAGGAATGTGGCCATGTCATCGAGGTTAATCGTATGGATGATTGGATGCAAGAGCATCTTGAGACAGCAACAAATGGCCAAGCCCAGCCCCTTCGGTGTCCTATATGCTCTGTTCCTATCTATTTCAGTTTCCGTTATGGCAACATCGTCCGAGAGGCTTTACAAAGGATGTTTGAAGTGGAGTCTTTTACATTCCAAAAAAAATCCAGAAGGAGACAAAGTCAGGGATGGACCAAGATACCTAGGACGACACGTCACTAGGAAACTGTTTCGATTTCTTAACTGCACCAGACATTATTGATTTCATGCTTTTAATTTTAACATTATATAAATTGGTTTTAATTTTTCTCACCAAGAAGGTAGAGAGGGGAGTCTTATAGGTAATGTGGTCAGTTTTTTGAGTGACTGAAAGTTGTAATTGAAGAGTGTTTTGAGGGTATTGTTACCTACATTCATGATATCATCAGCGATAATCACCAGATCACGTGACCATTTTCCCGCCAATTTTATTTTAAAATATATTGATTGAAATTCATCATCGTCATTCATTAGAGAATTAAAAAATTCCTTGGCATTTAGCCACGTTAGGAGCCTTTGTTTTAGTATAAAACCTGAGCTTGCAATATCAACAGGGCAGGAAATGAACACGTGATACTTCAAATTATACATTTTGAGTATATATTAAATTTAAACATCTTTGGAACTACTAATTTAATTCCCAATCAAGTTGTATTGTGCAACAGTTTACTGAATTTAATGTTATTAATATTGACACAGTTCTAAACTATATTACTCAGAGAACAACCATCTTCACCCCAAGACCAAGACGACTAATGCGATACGATGCCTACTAGGAAGTTGGCAATAACAAGACTGTGAACAATCCAGGGGCTCAGCTGATAGGGAGATTTGTTGAAGAGGTTGTTCTCTCAGTAAGGTTAATTTTTAAGGGCATTTAGGGCATGGTATTTCTAAGCCATTAAACTTTTTATTCGACATTAAAACAAATTGCCTCATCATTGAAACAGTGATTCTTAAATTGAGTAACGTAGAAGCGTTACCTCTGGGGTGAAAGGGGGCCTTAAAATAGATTATTCAAACTTGAAAGTTTTTTCTATGCTTGGAAACAAAATTTATAGATTCTCCTTGTTTTCTATTCTCGAGACTTTACAGTTTTCCGACAAACTTTGGGTACCAAAGTCGGATCATTTCGTTTATGCAAATTGAATTGCTAGGATTCATAACATTTGCAAAGGTCTCGATAATAAGCCAGACAAGTTTACTGCAGGAATATTTAAGTTCAAGACTGTGACATTGTTTGATTTTCGCTTTCGTTTCAGACTAATTTCATTTCACACCAATTTAATTTCATCCTTCAACATCGCGAATAGATATAGGAATCTAAGGTGAAGATATATCGAAAAAAAAAAGGTTTTTGGCGAAGATATAAACAAAAAAGACAACCGAATAATATTGTGTGTTCATAACTATAGACTACAAAGTACTGACCTTTACTTCCTGTTCTTCGCTGCTTCGACCTGGATTGTCTGTACCCTTCTGCTTGTCTTTTTATATCAAACCAAGTAATCGGCCCATACCACGGCCAGTGGAACACTGAAACATCAAGAAACGTTATATCGAAATTAAATACGACAATAACCGTAGCATTTTGCAAAGAAATCGCATGAGTATCGAATTTTCGAGAAATATGAATAATCATGAATGGTTTTGACGCGCCCCGTATCCTGGAAAAATGAGACAAGGAAGCATGGACTGAGGAAAGGCGAAACACTTAAAAGCTAAATGCTTAATAATTTATCAAAATTAAGGCAACTGTGAACAACAAACTGGGATTAATAATACTTTACGCCCAGGCAAAGCAATAACAATTCTTTTTAAAATACAATTATAATGCTCGTTTTTACGATCAAAATATTAGGTTCAACACTTCTAGAGTCCATGCTATCCATTCCTAGTTTTTCAGATGGGCTCGAATTCTAGGAAATCCAAGGAAATTTCTTCCCGAGTTAGTGTCAGCAAAGAGGCTTGCGTCATATTTGTGGCAGTCTAGCTTTGGATATGAATTCGTACGGATATATTTATGAATGAAAGGCCGAATGATCCGGTAAACGAATCAAATATGGGAAACGTTCGCGGTATATAACGTTACTAAGAGCATAGTCAACCATAACTGGCCGGAGAGAGCAAGAACTTCGAAAATAACGAAGGTGAATAAGGTTAGTTTTACTAGTAAGAGATACATGTGTATTGGCCATTTGTTGATTTTTCATGCGTAGTTATTGGCTTCGAAGCATAAGTATTTTAATTTCATCGGTATCATCGGGTATAATACTGCCAAAACTATTATTCGAAAAAATGTACTGTTATGAATACCTTGCTGATAAGAACACGTCGTGTTAAAACTCGTTCACCCTCGAGGTACAATGAGACTGGTCATGCCTTAAACTATAATATTTTCCAAATATTTCCCTTTTGATTGAGTGATAAATAAACCGGTTTAGGCTTACCATAGTGTGCTTAGTCGTTCGCAAATGTCATATGCTTGGTTTCTTTTATCGATGAATTCCTTATAACATGAATGAATAACATGCCAAGCCAGAGGATTTGATTTTGTTCGAAATATCATCGGTTTTGGGCTGCCTGTGCCTCCCACAGTGACAGACGTGTCCTTAAAATAAAAGAGAAAAAAATAATGGAATAAAAAAGTAATACAAGGGAAAGATAATAGTAATATGAAGGCAAAGGAAAGAGAAATGGAGAGTAAAGGTTGAAATTTTGATGATGAAAGCAAATTGATGCAAATTGAGAATGAAAATAGGAAAAGAGAAGAGAAAAGGGGAGAAGATAAGAGAGTGGAAAAGAGAAGAGAAAAGAGGAGAAGATAAGAGAGTGGAAAAGAGAAGAGAAAAGGGGAGAAAAATGAGAACGGTGAAAGGTATGACCACAAAAAGAAAAAAAATGGAACAGAAGAAATAAGGACAGAATAGAATGCAAAAGAAGACTACTAATAAAAAAGAGAATTAAAGAATAAGAGAACAGGAAGGAAGAGAAATGAGAAAACATAAGACCAAAGGAAAAAAAGGAAGAGAAGGAGAAAGGAGAGAAGGTAAGAGGAAAAAGAGAAGTAAAAGGAGGAGGAGAACAGAACAGAACGAGTAAAGGTTGAAAAATCGAAAAGGAAAGTAAATAGATGCGAATTGAGAATGAAAATAGGAAAACAGAAAAGAACAAAACTGAAAAGAAGAGCAGAGAAGAGAAGAGAAGAGAAGAGAAGAGAAGAATAAAACCAATGGAATGTTAAAATGGAATGGAACAAAAAAGGAATCGAAAAAAAGGGAAGGGAAAGACAAAGATATCTAAAAATACCACATCCCACAAGTCAACTGACTAAGAACAACATCTCTTATTATAACTGAAAAACATTATTTCCATTTTAGAACTGCTGAAACGTGTGTACAAGTGTTTATATAGACGGCAGAACACAATATGCGAGCAACTTTACGTCAATATTTCATGGAGATACGATAAACGAATGACTGTCTTCTATATGTACACTTCATGATTAATGGGAAAAAATGCATTACTTAACAGTACTTAATACTATTCAATACTATTATTTCCTCAGCAGTAGCCACATTTATTATCGAAAGCGCATGTAGAATTTATACAGGAGTTCTTTTTTAGGGTGCAAAGAAAAGAGAAAATGGATGGACAAAAACGAATGCCAGAGGGAAGACATACGAAGAAGGGCCAGGCAGAAGGTCGGTCTGATGAAAATAACCAAAGAAAACCAAAAGGATATTGGCAGAGGCGAAAACTAAAACAGAAGCAAAAGCAGCAACAACTGAAAGAATCACTACCACCACCACTACTTCCACAACAACAACAACCACAACCACAACCACAACGACGACGACAACAACAACAACA